TGAGTTGCAAGGGGCAGAAGCACTCCAAATTCATATAAATTCTTTAGGGATTAACAGGATTAACAATCCAGTACCTTCCAGCTCCACAGACATGTACCTGAGTGTGCAGAGTTAATTGGAAACACATTTCTTCTAGGCATTTTGATTACTTTGTGCCCCACCCCCCTTGCAATAAATACCTAGAGAACTTAAATTTTATCTACAGTTACCATTCTAGTTTTGGGAACTGAGAATGGCCTTTAATTAAAGCCTTGACCCATAGATTTATAGAAACACCCCCCCCCCAAGTGATAGATATTTTTGGTACACTTGATCATGCGGCTCCAGTGACATCTTGCCTTCAAGTACTTCTCAAATGAAAACAGGAACACTTGCGTTCTTTTAAAAGCCTTTTTCTCAAGCCAGGAAGTCTCTGACCATTAAGAGATATCACGAAGGGTCCTTGAGCTTGCCTACTGTATTCGTATATTTTGAAAAGCCTAACTTGCAATGGCTAGTAAACAAATTCCCTTCCCCAGGTTCATATGTTTAAAAGAATATATAACATACCTGCTTGTATATATTGCTAAAGCCCTGAAGCATTCGGCAACAAGTATCAGAGCCCTGTTCTGTCAGCATGGGGAGCATCCGAATAAGGATGATGGTGAGGAAATATTAACCCACCACAACCCACTCTTGCTGTTATTATAGAAATGAAATGCAAGAGGATGAAAAGGAGGACGCTGCCATATCCAGGCAGTTTTTCCATGGGAGTTAAAAGACCAGTGGCGGTGCTGGTTCTGGCTCATGTAGAGAGGCAAACCAGCATCAGCAGCCTGCCTCTCTTTAGACTGTGGTGTCTCTGTGATTAAAGTGATGGAGGAATGAGTGAGGGGTAGCGTGCTGTTCTTGCTGTGTGTGGGCTCCACATCCTTTCTGCCTGACTGAATATTGTTTTACTTAGATAGGCGTTTGTGTGAGTCATGGAGTGCTGTACATGGGTGTACAAAAGTAATAAAACTCCAAATTTTTTAACAATTGGAAAACAGGAAAAAAGCAAGGAAAGTGCTTTACAGTGGGGTCTCTACTTAAGAACTTAATCCGTATTGGAAGGTGGTTCTCAAGTGGAAAAGTTCTTATGTAGAATCTGCATTCTCAAGTAGAAGCAAAATTTAGCAAACGGAGCTGTTCTTAAGTAGAATTGTTCTTAAGTAGGGACGTTCTTAAGTAGAGACCCCACTGTATTTGCTGCACGTACTAAAAAACAGAGACAGTCCCTGATAACCGGAGATGGACGGTACACAGGTCCACATATTGCAATAATGTGTAGGGCTATTCCCTACAGTTCTCATTCTTGGAGGAATGTCAAGATGGTGACAATGAGCAACTCCTCGCTATTGTCCTAGAATGCTCTTTGTGGGTTCACAAAGGCATTCCTTGATTGCATTTGGACACAATAGACAATAATTAACACAATAGAAATGAGCCTCATTTTCTTCTTGGCCTCATAAATTCTTGGCACCTCTTCTCTTGTGTCATAGCTCTAAGCCACTGGGGAACGTCTCTTTCCATTTATTAACTGCATCTTCAGTTGTCAACTGAATTGTCAACTGTGGTTAGTTTTAACTATTGTTTGTTGACAGAAGCATGCTTTATCTGTCACTGCCTGAAATTCACTTGTTTCATAGATTACAGAATTAAGGTTAAACATAGTTTTTTTTTTGGGATCCCTTTTGAAAGCACAGATAAGCTTCAGTTAATTTAAAAAAGGGAGAAAAAATTGAACCATCTCCCTGCAGAAAAAGAAAAGAATAATGATAATGCTAAAGGGGGGGGGAGGAGTTGTGTGAGACCAGAACGAGGTCACCCTTGTTGCAGTCTCCAAAAAACAGTGAGGATGTTTTGGAGAAAATTCTGCAAAGCTGCCTATTTCCAGGGGAGTATGAGAAAGTCAATTGTGTCAAAATGTTCCTAGAAAAAAAATGTCTTCTGAGAGACATTTTAGCTCAGTCCCAGCTGCTGATCTTCAGGGTCCAGTGCCTTCCCCAGACCCTCCCAAACACTACATTTTGGAGGTGTGGTAGTGGTGGTCTTCTCTGTTGCAGTACACTGTTTAACACAGGTCTTTTCCCATATTTGCTACAAGGATTGCACATCTTTTCCTGTAAGCCTTGTAGCAAATATGAAGGATAGCAGCATTGTGTTTAACCCCAAGAAAAAGATGAGGCTACTGCTGTGCTATAACTTGCTGCCTGTTTTCCAAAAGCTTTATTCCCACAAGAAAAAGGCTCCCATTTTTCTTCCTCATTCTCAAGGTCCATCAAATTATGTTTGAGTGATATTCTGGAACTCACCGCAAAGCTGCAACATGCGGGAATTGTTTTTATGATTTTCTTTCTCTTTTCCTGTTGCACATCTTTTCAACACTCTGCAGTTTCCCTGGCTGCCCACCCTTCTTGACCCGAAGAAGCTCTGTGGGAGGAATCACCTGAGGTAATCTTCCCATGGGCATTAGTGGAAGTGTGAGCAGCTGGGGAGGCTTCCAGATGCATAGATTTGAAATACATGATAGGATGAGCTCTTCATCCATGAAGCATTTCTCCAAAATTCTTCCTCTTATGAAACTCCTTTTAAAAGAAATTACTTTTCTATCAAATTGAACATTCTCATGGAAGACCTTCTCAGCACACCTCTGATTTATATTAGTACGGAGCAATTTTTGTGCATAAAAACCTGCATCAGAGTTGAAAAGACATGTCAATTTGTTAGTTTTTGATAATTACTTCAAAAGGGACCAAATGCCATCAAGCTTTAACTTGTTCTCATTGATACACAGAGGCATAAATAAACCTCATTGTGTAATAAGTTAGTATTTAGAGATGGGGACAAATCAGGAAAATGGTGATTTGTCGCGATTTGTCATTCGTCAAAGTTGATGAATGGACAAACCAATGAAGCACCCAATTTTAGTGACAATTGAAAATATTCATCAATTCATTGTTAAAACACAAAAAACTCATAGCACTGAAAAGTAATCCACTTTGGATTAAAAAACCACGGAGACTTCACATCTCCTTTCCAATCCCACCTCCTAAGAACACCTTCCACCCTTCACTTCCAGCTCCACTTATTTGGACGGCAGAATTAAGCAGCTATAGTAAGATCCTTCATGCACTCCACTGAAACTTGACAGGACAAAGGCCACACACTAGCCCTTGAGGAATGTAGTTTGTCCAGGTATCATTTGCAATGTCAGTTTGGATGCAAAAGTGACTTTCCCAAAGCACCACTGGAGCCTTGCATGTTCCAGATATACAGCTGTGCTACTGTCAAAGTGAGAGTCTCCATCTCCTGGCTTTGCTCGCCTTTTTTA